GTTCCACAGTAATGGTAATTTTATGAAAACCTAATGAAAATGTTTTTAAATAATGCTATGATTTTTTTTAAAAAAGTCAATTAAATTTTAAAAAAGGAAAGTGCTTCACTATCGGACAAAACCCCTACCGCCCACCATGAAAGCTGGAACGCCCACTAGTGGGCGGTAGGGACCAGGTTGACTACCACTGGTCTAATTTGTGATCATGTGACTGTGGGGGTGTGTGTGATATGACAATTGTAACTGCAAGTACAGGTCATAAGTCACTTTTTCCAAGGCTCACAGAATTTGGTAGTTAAAAGAATGTTGATAAATTAGGGACTACCTATATGTGGACATATCAGTGTTTAGTTGGCCAGCTGGGGAATTCTGGGAGTTGAAGTCCACACATCTTAAAGTTGCCAAGATCAAAAACACTGGCATATACTGGATCCCCCCCCATGTTGCACATCTGTTTATGTATGTTTCACATGTATCTCTTTTATTTCTTCCAAGCAGCTAAGAAAAATAATTAAAAACAAATTAAAAGAGTTAACTTTTAAAATTAAGACCTAATAATAAATCAAGCATACATTTGATTATGTATGAATATTTACACAATAACATTAGCATGCTTCACTTAAGGGTTGGATTAAAATATTTCCTGGGGTTCTTATGGCAAGATAGATAGGATGGTAAACCATGCAGGAATGGCCTTCCCCATCTTGTTCCAAGATTGCTAATGACAGGGAAATAATATGTACCAAAAATGAAATTCGACTGATTAAAAAAAAAAGGTTGCCAACAGTGGGGAACATTGCTGTGAATAGAATAGATATAAGGTACCATGAAGGGAGCATCAACACTTCTCAGATAGATTGGCTAATGACTCTGGCCCTTTTCATTCATGCCATCAGAGATGGGTTCATACTGGTTTGGACTGGTTTGGGTGAGTAGGCAGCAACTCGGCCTGCCATGCCATGAACTGGTTGTATTGTCAGCACCGCCATCTTGATTTTTGGTTCTGCACATGCGCAGAACATTGCAAAAATGTAATTTCCCCCCTTTTCTAACGTGTGCATGCGCAGACCTTTTTAGCTGCCAATGCGCACGCATGTTAAGCGAGTCCGCATGCACAAACAGTTTTGTGCCCCGAACTGGTAGTAACACCAGAAGCAAGCCACCACTGTATGCCGTACTTAATTGCAGATCAAGGACTTGGCTGGCTAAATTCTCTGCTAGCATATTGGAGTTTCCGCTTGAATCCTGTAGCCCAAGTTTCCCCAATCTTTTGCTCTGTAAAAGTGATGAGTAAGATACTCATCATTCTTCATCAGCTGGGACAGGTAGGCAGAGATCGTGACCCGACAAAAGCGCAAACGTCATAAGCGTGCCGACAAAACCACGGCGCTAAAACCGCGATGTCAAAAGCGCGTCGACAACAGCGCGCCGACAACAGCGCGCCGACAGAAGTGCGATTTAAGTTAAAGTAAGGTTTAGGGTTAGGTTTAGGGTTAGGTTTAGGGTTAGGTTACAGTGCG